GAGACAATCTAGCAAAATCACCACCTGAAATAAAGAGACCCAGGATGCAAGCAAGCGGTTAGTAAATGGAATGCAGCGTACCTACAAATGCTGTGCCGGTTCTGCCTACGTTCTCTGCAGGACCCGTCTTCGCTTCGGTGGTGGCCCCAACTGGCCTCGCTCATGGCTCACTAGGCCTGCCTGACTCAGGCACTCGCGACCGCATGTGCTACAGCACCATGCGCTCGATATCGATGGAGTACAACCCATCGGCGTCTGCCGCTTCTTCTCTGCATGCATGAGGTCTTTCTCTCGCACCTCAGCATCTGCCTACCTGATCAGATCGCGCCATGCACGCCGATCAACCGCCTTCGATTCCCATGACCTGCAATCAAGATTGGAACGTGAGAGGTTCACTTATATTATGTCCTGGTAACGTAACTTTGGTTTCCCCACATGCCGCTTCCTAATACTCAGCTGACCATATAATAGTTGTTTCGGTATCCGCGTCGAATCCATACGGCTCACATGACCGAGCCACCTCAGGTGTCAGCAAAAGTATGCAGTGGACTGCATACATTCCACTTCGATGCAACACTTCCGTGTCCGCAACTCTGTCGCCCCAAATGATGCGCAAAATCCGTCGCAGACACTGCTGATGGAACCGCTCGAGATATCGCACATCCCGCCGGTACATCGTCCACGTTTCACTGCCGTATAGAAGAACGGACAGCACCATGAATTTGTACACCATCAGCTTCGTGCCAATGGTAAGCTGGTGGTTATTCCACACTCGGTACTCAAGCTTCCCGAATGCCGCCGCTGCCTTCGACACGCGGATACGCAGCTCACTGTGTAGCTGCTGATCAGTCGATATCACACTCCCAAGGTAGCAAAAGTGGGAGGTGGTTTCTAATACTTCAGCACCAATGCTGATTTGCCGCAATCTTGAAGATTGCACCTCCGGTGAAGGCTGAAAGAGACAGACAGTTTTGCTTGTGTTGATGGTGAGCCCAAATTTGCCGCTGTCGAAGCCAGAGCACTAGTCATGTGCTGCAACTCATCTGCGCTGTGTGAAAACAACGCACAGTCATCAGCGGACAGCAACCTACGGATAGTTGTCTCACAGACTATAGTTCTCGCACCGAAACGACGGATGTTCAGCAACCCACCATCAATACGGTGCTATACACGAACACCGTAAGCACAAGCCGTATCAAAAGCACAAGACAACATTGCATGAATATATATATTAAACAGGGCAGGAGCTAAGACACAGCCTTGCTTCACACCAGAGACAACTGCAAAGTCATCCGAGGTCTCTCCACTCAGCTGCACCCTCGCCCGCATTCCACTGTGCAGACATTCAATTAAACTTACAAACTTACGCGGGCAACCAAACTTACCCAACACCAGCCACAATGCCTCGCGGTTCACCGTATCAAATGCTTTGGTGAAATCAACAAAAAGCGAGTACAACAGCTGGTGTCGTTCTCTGCACTTCTCTTGCAACTGACGAGCAGCAAACACCAGATCTATAGTGCTGCGACCCGAACGGAATCCACATTGCTCTTTCGCCACGTTTGGTTCCACAACCTGACTGACGAGGCGGTTGAGCAGGATTCGGGCAATCAACTTGCCCACACAACTCAGCAAGTTGATGCCACGATAATTCGTGCAATATTGCTTGCTCCCTTTGCCCCTGTACAGTGGTAGCACAAGGGCATCCTTCAGCTCAGGAGGCACCTCCTCCTCAATCAATACGCGTTTCACCAAGTGGTGCAGCGCAGTCACCAGTGGGGGTCCGCCTTGTTTCACTACTTCAGGCGGGATCCCGTCGGCACCGGCACACTTACCATTTCGCAGCTGAGCAAGTGCTGTCTGTGCCTCATCCAGTGTCGGCGTGTCCGTTAGACTTGCCTTCACATCGTCCTGCTTCAGGCCGTTCAAAGTATGCCAGCTGATCTCTGAACGGTTGTTCAATAGACAGTCAAAGTGTTTCCGCCAGACCTTCATTTTGTCTGCAGCCTGTGTGCAGAAGCACCTCAGCTACCATCGATCAGCGTCCTCAGTGGCTCCAATCTCGGTCCGCACACCGCCTTCAAGAAGTCAAAATTTTCTTCGTGTTTGCGGCGTTCGGCGTAGCATTCCATCTGCTTCGCGTTTTCCGTCCACCATGCATTTTTAATGTAACGTAGCTCTCGGGTCAGTCGCCGTCGAGGTTTGCGAAACTGACCATTCTTCCCCAAGTCACTGGGGTCTGCCACATGTGCAGCAAATGCTGCATTCTTCTCCGACACCAATGCGCCAATCGTCGCATTGTTCTCATCAAACCAATCAGGCCGCTTACAGTTTACGTGCCTGATGGTCTTCTCGGCAGCAGCTGTCACCTGATCGCGAATGTGGTGCCACAGGTCGCCCACTGTGGCTATGCATTCCACATCACACAGGCTTGCAGCCACCGCCTTCTCCAGCCCAATATGTTTCGCCACAGTACCGAGGGAGAGAATGTTAACTTACGCTGATTCACGGCTAGAGTACAATACATAGACTTACTAAAATACATGTACAGTTTATGCCGCACCAATTTGTGATCAGTGTCACAGCTCCACGCAGTACGCATGTCATACGCACTTCACGCATATCACCCTGACGTACGAAGACATAGTCGAGCAGATGAGCGTGACCACTCCGTGGGTGCGTCCAAGTTGCTTTATCACTCACACTCAGTGCAAACCGAGTGTTCGTCAGGCCATGAGTGGGAGCAGTGGGAGCAGTCTGTCACCGTTCTCATGCGCTGAACTCATGTCTTGCGGACCGGAAACATATGTCCACACCGATGCATCACGCCCAACGTGCGCGTTGAAATCGCCCAGCAGAAATAGTCGGTCGCTCCTCTGCATAGACCGTATCACGGAGGATAGCTCAGTGTAGAACTGATCACGCGTGTCATCAGGATAACACATGTTGGGACCGTACGTGTTTATAAAGATGGCAAACTTACCTCTTCCGAGTTGTAGGCGAACACTCATCATTGGGGCGCTGATGCCTGTTGGTTCACCCACCAGCTGGCCATGGAGGCGATCGGATATTGCAAATCCGACCCCATGATCACATGGTGCTGAGGCTGCATTGCCCACCCAGTAGAATGTGTAGCCAGCATCTGCTTCATGCAACTTACCTTGCTCAGCGAGCCGAGTCTCACTGAGCGCCGCAATATCGATGTTGTAGCGCGCCAGTTCCATCGCAACTAGTGCAGTGCGTCGCTCGGAGTGCTCACTCGAGTTCCGGTCCAGTAGTGTGCGCACGTCCCAGCACTCGATGCTGAGTGCTTTGCGCGCAGGCATACGATTTCATTGGTGGTCAATTGCACGTGAGGTGGCAGTTGTGCTTTGGAAGTTCGCTTGAGGGACTCTACCTGGAGCGTTTGGCTCAATAGCCTGACCCACAAGGCAGTGGGGGCGACCAAACATACTTGCATACAAATTGACCAACTCACGATAAGCGAGACAGGGTTATCAACCCTATCCCCAGTGCAGTCTAATGCTGACCGATAGTTGTTTCTGAACACAAAGCAGCGGCTTAATCCAGTTAATTGCAATCGCTTCTGCGAAACGGAGGAGGCCAAAATCGGTGTGCTGTTGTAAGATTGTGAACGCCGAAATGTCCTCGACTCCGTAACCTATGGTCAATAAGTGTCGGCCCATCGAAGTGGCCTGTGGTTTACGCAGACAAGTAGCTTGACTTTGGCCAGTTTCCTGAGAGGTTGAACATTGAACTTACTTAGGTACATGCTCTTTCATTCCGGAACTCAATGTTCTGTTGGTCCTGTCTATGTAACTGGCGTCGCAGTCACATGAATTGGTAAATGCAATGCGATTTGGCCCCGACAGGCTGAGCCTCCTTTACAGAAGAAAGTAGCAGTTTTGGGTTTTTTTATCACCACGACGTTGGCGACATAATAAGTTGTCTGAATGTCACAGATCAGTTTTGAGTTGTGTTAATTGATATTAATTGGCATCTCCGGTGTTGTTGATGTTTAGTAACTGCCATCAAGCCATTTATTCCGCTATGCTCTTACTCAAAAGGTCCTGTTTAGTCTTTGTTGTTCTCATTTTGTCGCAGGCTGAACAGACGCGGCGGCACAACAGATTTCTGGCGACAGTCAGCTGCACGGTAGCAGCAGGTTATCCGTACATTAAGCGGAAACCGCAGTATGAAGAGTGGTGCAAAATGAGAGTTGGATTGAATTTTTGGAGGAGATTCTTAACGGCCGCACTCATCCAGACAACCATTGCACACCCCGTCTCGTCCTTTCGGGAATCGTCAACAGTGCGCACTTCATCTGTCCCCTATCGGGCTATAACTCGTGACCCAGCTGTTACGAGTTAGTGGTTAAAATCACGGCCTCGGCAGATGAGTGGTAGTCACTGTATTTGATTGTTTCCAAAGGAATATTATCAACTGTAAAACGTTTAAAATTAGGCAAGCTTCCTGCAACTGTCCTATTGACAGTCTTTGCATTCAAGACATGCTGTGGCTTAGATCAAGGGCCCTTAGCATCAACCATTGGAATGCGATTGGATCTTCTACTCCACCGATTTGGGGTTACGCACGTCTTTTTCATTCTACTGTGATACCTACTAGGCTCGCTTATCAGTACTTTACGTGTTCCCTTCACTTGAAGATATTTATCACCCACGCTCTCTTACTACATTGTTGGTAATGCTTTGGCGCATCTGTCAAAAGCGATTTTGAATCCTTTGTTTTTGCTGGGTTGCTGTGGTTCTGTTTCATACGTCGAGGCACTCAAAGTCCCTGTTACAATTTATCTGCCCCTGCGCTGGGTTCTGTTCACGTGCATTTTACCGTTTTTCTTTTCGTCAATTACAATTGGTAAAACATCACTACGGTTTCTTTCGTGTGGACACTGTGACCCCCGACTGACTTATTGTCTACCTGCTTTTGCTTCCAACAACGACCAACTTTTTACCATCCCACCTTTTCTCCCTCCCCAACAGTTGGCATCATCCAAACAGTTACGTAAAAATCAACTCTACACATGGCACTCTTGGTATATGATTTGGATAGGAGACCTGTTGTCCGTGTTCAACCGCTGGGCTTTCGTCAGTATCCAGCTCCAAAGTGACGATGGTCGGTTACGTGCCCTGGCTGTGCACAGCGGGGGTAACGGTGATCGCATTCCCATATTGTTGCAGCCGGGGGAGGCGCCCGTGTCTAGACCAGGTTAGTTTTTCCACGCTGTAGTGGACAGTAACGTTAAATCTCCCTATAGATGGCTTGGTATGACGTATTTTTTGATCTGAGGCTGTTTGGTCTGAGGCTGTTGACACTACCTCAGGTGGCATATCAACTTCTATCTTGGGAGTCTGTTCATTAGATTAGCTGTTCAACGGACGGTTAATCAGTCACCTGTTCTATATTTACCCAAGTTAATCATCGGCATCTAGAAGTATGCATTGTTTACTAGGCGAAATATTCGAACTGATAATCTGTCGGCCGGTCTCCGAGTGTTCTGCGCACCTGGTTTGCAACCATAAGATGGGCGTCCTCGCGGTATACTCAGCCTACGCCCAACTGGTGGTGGTCGCGTGGCAGCGAAGCGCCGTTACGGCGTACAGCTGGCGATTTATTGTATAATCTGCCATCACCTGCAAGTGGCTGCGGACTAGTGACAAAAACGTGCCGAAGCAATCCAGTCCTACAATATCGTTGAAGGCGCAAACCATGTGACAACTCCAGTCATTGTGCATTGTATTCAATGGCTTCTGCATAGGGGCAGGCTCGGCCCTCGTACCTCTGGATCGTCCCTGCCTTTTGGATAGATCAGATCATTCACTTCGATTGTAGCTGCAGCAACGACCCCGCCACGGTCCAATAAGGTTAGGTAGTTAACAAGTGACGCCCATCATTGTCTTCATCAACACTAGTGCTGTAATCAAATTATTGTATTGTATTTCACTGAGTCGCTCCACCATGACATCCATATGCATGTAGAGTGACGATTCCTCCTTCAATCAAGACCTTTGGCTTACAATTTCGGTCACAAGCTTGGTTTTTTCGCGGAAATCTAGAAGACCAACGAGCTCAGTTTGTCTGTCCACCTACCACGGGCTAAAATTGTATGCCTGACTTAAGACTCAAGAGAGGTACTCAGACCGTTGCATCACGTCAGAGTTCAATATCATTGCGATGGAAACGAAAAAGATTTTAACCCAATGTTTCTCCATTTTGGTCTCTGCATGGAATTTACCTATTCGATCACACGGCCCCAATAGTTTTGTTTTGACAAGACTCCAGACTGTGAATGGACCGGTAGTTAAAACGGTTATGGAGGAGTGTGTTTGCGAACAGCTGTTCGTCTCCGAAATGGAGGTGTTTCGGTGTCGCTCCTCCAAACACTGACACCCCGAAACACCTCCTTTTCGGATACGGTCTTTTTGATCGGAATAACGTAGGTCTCCTTCAAAGTGAACCGTTTTCTCCATAAAGATGGCATGTCGCAATCCAACCACACGGCGGGCACTCCAAATCCATCTTTTAACTATTCGTCTCCTTACCTACTCTATACTCATGAATAGGAAGGAAGTTCGTTGATATAGCCGCTCCGCTCTTATGCCACTTCAAATTTGTATCTTCAAACTTAGACCCGATTCTTTTTCGAAAGACAACTGCGTTACCGACTTGATATTTTCCTCTCCACAGACCCCTTCCTTCGACTGTAAGCATGCCAAAGGTGATCCCGTTGGCGGTAATCTTTGGGGCTCTTTTTGCGCTTCGAATTATGACGATTTGTGTCAAACCACTGGGTAATCAACTATATACTACTTACTCGAGGTATATTTCCATACCTATCAAAAGCTTATCTCTATTTGTTGTTAAGTATTTTATTATCTCGTCTTTAACGACGATTCTACATCGGATAGGTTGCTCAGGGTTAACAAACACGGTACATGAGGAACATAAGAAAACTCTCAATAGTACAGGACTCGCAAGTACTCTTGCTACTTGATAACCAAGTCCGTTAACAGAGTCTCACCGGTGGAACGGTGTGGTTTTCCTGACATCTATGTGTCGAAGATGTCCAAAAATATTCCCAATAGCGGTAAAGAGACGCATCCGTCTGTCTTTAGATTTGTAACCTCATTATGCTCCATTGATTTCGCGACCCATAGGTGAACGGGTTAGTTAAGAGTCCCGATGACCAGTCACGCGAGAAATGGTAGGATCAAATATCAAGCACGGACATATGCATCGCAAAATAGTTTGCGCCAAATAACAGCTAAAAGGGACTACTATTTTGATGCGCTTAGTTTAAGTGGACTACGGATCCTACCGTACAGTCTCGTTTGAAGTCAAACATTCTGGGTCTAGCTTTTCGATAGTGGTTTTCCTGATGAACTTTAATTGGTGCTTCTTTTGCGAATGTACATTACCACAACCGGACCAGAAGATCTCGTCGTCGAACTTCAAAGAGCTAATGCTGTTGATTCGGTTTCTGAAACTTGTGTAGATCGTTAGCCTCTGTGATTGAAAAAGAAACTATATTTTTAACGCTTTTACTTTTTCGACTAATCGAGAAGTATGTTCATAATTAATACGGTAACCTATAGATCATAATATTACTACGTTCTCAAGGAGACAGATGGAACTCTTCACTCATCTCACTGACGTCATTGTTTTGCGTTCTACGTTGTTTGGAAGATATGATCGGCTTAGACACCGCCATCTCCTTCTACCCTTTCCAAATGCTGCATTATTAGAGCCTGATACTATTTTTACTTTATCAGTCTACCTCGCTTTATCTATGGCGTGTACCAAAGTCCATGATGGCGACACTGCAGGTTGCGTCTCACTGATCTAGCTATTCGACCTTGCGTCCAATTGTGCCGCGGTTATTGTTAATGATTGTTCCATGGACAACTGCTTCCTTCACTTAGTCTCTCTGTTATTTTCCCGTATTTTGATTGGGATGGATTGGCGGCATCCGTATCCGGATTTGCCTGTTACTGTGGCCTCCACTGGCGCAGTCACAGGACGCCTGCGCCTACCGAGGGACCATGGGTGGCTTGCACTGCACCACCCACACACACCCCACGTCCGGTGTAAACCCGAAGGAATAAGACCGGGAGGCATGTGGATGGGATGACATCCCTCTATATGCCCCATATCACTTATATACTCACAAGGGTTTGGATGCTACTGCTCAGACCTTCCCGTTTTCTTATTCCCCCTCTCGTGCTTTTTCATCCTTAACGTCCCGTTCCAACTTCACTTTCATCCCCTCGTTTTAAATTCTCCAATTCTTGGCCCTCCCCTACTTTGCTTGAACAGTCGCTGGTCTTATAGTTTCAATTCACACACAATGGCAGGGCGTCGCTCCAATCCAGTCGACAAATCCATATTCAATCAGGCGGACGACGTCAGTCCATCCGTTTCACTTTGGGGTCCTCAATCCTCTCTAGGACTGGCATGCCTCAGCCTACGTACTTTGCTACAGTGAGTTTGGATTGGGGTTGGAATGAAGTGGCTCCTTATTCCTTAGAACGGATTCCTTGTAGCCCAACGCCAAACCCGCTGCCTTGCGGTCTGGTTTTTGAACCAAAGGCTTTGGTTGAGAACCCTAATCGTCTCCTGTCTAGGCCTGCGCAATCTGACAGTATCCTGCCCACTCAATACTATGAATCTTTCGTCGAACAAATTCCTGATGCTCTGGCCACCGCAGAGGATAATCAGCGGTGCCCTATCTGCTGCATCGAGCAGGGTGGATAGGGGTTTGGATGCTACTGCTCAAGTCTTCCCGTCTTCTTATTCTTCCTCTTACCCTTTTTCACCCTTATCGTCCCGTTCCAGCTGCACTTTTCTCCCCCCTGTTTTCAACCCCCCCAATTCTCGGCCCTCCCCCACATTGCTTCAATAGTCGCTTGTCTTTTAGTTTCAACTCACAGGTGAATGCGGAGCGTCATTCCTGCCCTGTCAACAGGCCCATGTCCAAGCAAGCGGCCCATTCCAGTTCATCGGCTTCCGTTTGGAGCCCTCTATCCTCCTTCAGATTGGCATGCCTCAATGTACGCACACTGCTACAAACCGGTCAACAGGCAGCACTTTCCCGAACATTGGAGACCCTCTCGATCGATATCTGCTGCTTATCAGAGGCCCGCCTGCAAGACTCGAGCTCTGTGCTCACTCCGCGATCCCCTTCAGGTAACATAATCAGCATTTTCTCATTGCGCCTATCCAGTGTCGATGCAACTTCGAGCACCGGCCAAGCTGGTGTTGGCATTGTCCTGAGTCCCCTGGCTGAAGCTGCTCTGGTTGATTGGACTCCAATCAGTAGCCGGATGTGTGCGGTCCGATTGGCTGGCTTGTTCAAAGCTTCGAAGCCGCACGGGACAATCAGGTGTCTGTTCGTCATCGCTTCCTGTGCACCCACAAACTGTAACGATAATTCGGTGGAAAACGACTTCTATCGCCAACTGACCGAGCTACTTCGTCACAGAAGAAGCTCGGACACTGTAGTGCTGGCGGGGGATCTGATCGCCCAAGTTGGAAAATTATCCACTGATGAACTGCATCTGGGCGGCCAACATACTGTAGGCTCCCGTAATGATAACGGTGAGCGGTTACTTCATTTGTGTGAAGATGCTCGCTTATTTCTTGCGAGCACTAATTTCCGACACAGCACCCGTCGGAAAGTGACTTGGCGCCCACCAGCCTCTAGCCAGCTGTGGACGCAAATCGATCACATCGCGATTAGTTACTGCTGCTGAGGCTGTGTCCAAAACTGTCGCTCAATTTGGAGCACCAGCGTTTACTGCGATCACGCTCTCGTGTGTGCCGCCGACCTTCAGGTGTGTTTTGGCGGACGTTCGCAACGTAGCTGTTAACGCATTGACACCAGTCAGCTGGCGAAGCCAGGTGTCCTGAATGCGCATCAAACTACGCTAGCATCTTGGCTGAGTGAGCGTCCACTAAACACCGTCGAAGATCACTGGTCGCATAATTGTCAAACGTTACTATCAGCCGGCATGTCTTCATGTGGCAAATCAAATTGCCAACCTAGACATTTGGTCTCTACAAAGTCTCTGGAACTTACGAAACTTATGATCGCCGACGTATTCCGACTGGAAGCGAATACAATGAGACTCGAAAAAATCTCGGGGCAAAACTACCTGCTAGCCTGAAGAGAGACTGCGAAGCCTGGTAATCTCGTCATACATCGGAAATGGAAACAGCCACCGCCGTTGGTAGTCATCATATTATTCCGTCTGATACGGGAAATATGCAACAGGAGACCTGGTGTTAGCGAGACTATACGCCACGAGAGTGGACAGCCGATCCACAGCTCGCAGCGTTGAACCGAATACTTTGCAAGGCAGTTTAACCAGTCTGATTTATCGCTTTCTCTTTCGGGAATTGACTACCCTTCTCCATGGGCCGTCTCCTTAGATCCGAGATCTGACTGTTGAAATCTCATAAGGCCGTTGGTGCAGATAGAATTCCCTCAGCTCTCTACAACTTCGGAGGACCTGCTCTTGTAGATCATTTACACAGGTTCTTGGTGGAACTTTGGGAGCCGGAAGCTGTCTCGTCATAGTCCCAATTTTCAAGGGAGGCTCCCGTTCGGAACGCGGCAACCATAGAGGGTCAGTCTGATCTCAATTGCCTCTAAATTACTTGCCTCTGTCGTTCTCCACAGACTGACTGGCGCTCATGAATGCCAGAACAGCGAAGAGCAATCCGGGTTTCGTCGAAATCGAGGCTGCATCGACCACATCATCATTTTGCGTCAATTTTTTGTAGTACCGCCCTGTTTGTTGGCGACCCACTGTTGTCGTGTTTCTCAACATTAAATGTGCCTTCGATTCGGTGGATCGATGTTCACTTTGGGACTGTCTGCTGGGAAAAGGTGTGCCCAATAAATATGTGAAGATTATCAAAGCGCTGTACTCGCATAATTCGGACAGAGTGAAGCTTTATGGCAAACTGTCGCCGCCCTTCAATATCTCCAGCGGTATGAGGCAGGGTTGCCCGCTGTCACCTTTCCTCTTTAACTTCGCTATTGATGAAGTCATGGAATCAGCATTCGCTGCGAACGACTACAAGGGATGGAGCTACTTCCTGGTGAGCAACTTCTTGACTTGGAGTACGTGGACGACGTTGCCCTCATATGTGACAGCGTTCAAACGTGCCAGACTGCACTGGACCGATTAGTACTGGCTGTCAATCGTTTTGGCTTATGTTTTGCTCCCTCCAAATGCAAAGTCCTTCCCTAAGATTGTCAGGGACCCACTCCTGTGCTGACCCTTGGTAGTGATCAGCTATAACTCCTTCAGGAATTCAAGTACCTGGACAGCCATATTAGCGCCCGTGGGATCGGAGATGAGATTACGGACTGTATAGCAAAAGGTCGAGGTGCTTTTATCCATCTCCGCCACCTGTGGCGCAGGCGCGACGTGACTCTTGCCCTGAAGGGCAGAGTTTAACGCAGCCGTTCGTTTAACTCTTCTATATGGTTATGAAACCTGGCCCATCAGGTCAACAAACATAAAGAGGCTCGTCACGTCCGATCATCGCTGCCTTCGCAGCTTAGCTCATGTCTGGTGCGAGCACCGCTCAGCACCATAATACCACGCACCAGGCTCCGATGACTGGACCATGCGCATGCTGGCACACCGACTCCCGCGACGTGCATTGTTTGCGCGCGGGGGTGCGGTTGGAAGAGGAGGAGGCGAGGCCAAGCGGTGACTTAGTCGAGAGGAATGAAAACCCTAACTTCGAAGTTAGCGTCAATTGGTACATCTCGACTGCCTGGCTGGGGTCCTAAGGACGGTGAACACGTTTGTTTGAACACACTTGCTGATATAGCTATGAACCGGCCCCAGTGGCGTTTATGTTGTGAGTTCCTTTGTACCCACCCCCCTCCTGCTTAGCCTCCCTCTCCAATCACGATCCCATTCGTTAGGTATAAAATAACTCTTTTTGCCGCAGGATAGCTGGCTGTTAACTCCTCGGAACGATGTCCATCTGTTACTGGGGACTCAGCCGGTGTGCCTCTGTTTTTTCTTCTTATTTTCTTTTGTATTGCGGCACAATAGCTGTGTTTTCCGCCTGCAGCTAACGTGTATAATGGTGTTGGTGATCACATCTCCATAAACATCTCTAGCAGACTGCTAGCGCAAGGTTCTTATCTGGATGAAAAAGTGACATGCTCGCTAACTGTATAAACCAACCTTATTTAGACTTGCATGGGGCCATTATTCATTGTAAGGGAAGCTTCATTAGGAATCGAAGTGATAACGAACACTGTCTAGGTGTCCACCCTACCAGTACCGCTGAATCCTACCTACACTAATGCAATGAAAAGATGTCTTACCCTGGATCACTGTTCAGTATTTTCAACTCTGCTTCGTGATCGAATCACGCGCCTTAGAGTATATTCCTGCAACTTCACTTGTTCCAGCGGGATGAGCATTGCTGGTAACACAAAACGTTCGCCCCTGGAGTTTGTGATAAGTTCCCTGAATTATGCCTCGGTGGCATTGTGTTTTCTGCGCTCTCCGAGAGCGATACATACGAACGCAAGTTTCAGCTGTTGACGGGTTTGAGATAAATTTTAGACGTTAAAGGCCCGAAGTTGAAAAATGAAAGTGATTTGAATGTTGTTGGTGCAGCCACTAATTTCCAGGGATCGTTTCCGTCGGATCACCTGAGCAGTTTGTTTGCTACCAGTAAAACAATGTGTTTCCCACTCTCAGAGTTCATAATCATTCATGTAACATTTTTGCGCACTAAGTCTGTTTGACTGAAGATGGCGATCATATCTGAACGATGGCTTATTTCGGACAAAATAACAGATTTGACCAAGGAAGAGTTTACTGCTGAGAAGTTGATCTCGAGCGAGTAAGTCATTGGCGAGTGAGATATCTTTGGTGTCATATCATAGTTTGAATAGCCATTATTGTTGTCCCTTTGGAAGAAAACCTTACACTACACTTGGGGCACATCTGCAGCATGTGCTTTCGAAGAAATGCTTCACTTTATCGTTGTCATCTGCCTGATCTTTTCCTGTTGCTTAGGGAGTACCCACTTTAATTACTATTACTGATTGCCGTTACCTGGCTCCTATCACTATGAAGGTGGCGTTAAGTATGTCTAAACCACTGGTTCGTTCGAGTAATCTACCGCGTGCAATTTTACTTGTATGGACCTAGACAACCTGTTTCTCCCTGACCCGAGGTGTGCTCGTGGGTGTTAAGTGATCGATTTCGTAGGCTATATCACTTGATTAACTACTGCTAACGTTCTCGTCTAGAGTTCTAGTACACCCTTCTGTCTCTTTCACCCGCGTGAGCCTATCCTACACCGACACTTTCAGAAGCTGAGATGTAGCTAGTTACGCATGTACGGTAGTCGAGCTAAGTGAATAGCTTTTCGTTTGACCTGGTGTTTCAGGAATCCCATTAGGGTCTCTTTTCGATGCTGGTCCATAGGCCAAGAGATTACTCCCGTGGTTTTATCACACGACATTGTTGGTGTGATAGACAGTTTTGTTGGTGTTCCAGCTTTACCGTTGGCTCGTCTACTAGCTCACAACAGACGGCAACTGCTAACTCAACACTACTTTTGTTGTACATGGTCCTCGGGTAGAAATTTTAGGAATCTGTCCAGCTTTTTCCAGGAATACCTGATTCCGTCGGCTTTTTTTTCTCGATCCACCTTTGTTTTCGAATAAGTCGGTTTTCCAGCCTAAATATTTCTGAGATACCACAATCCTGCTGTTTTAAGAAACTCTTTTCCTCTCACCTCCAACAGGTTTGAAGCGCCACATGTTGCGACTGCATGAACATCTTATTGAGGTCAGCGAACGCCTGGAAGAAATTGCTTTGTGGTCCTCGCGAACAGAAAACCCAGAGCCTCCAAATCCAGAAGCTCCCTGCACCAAATTCGATGAACGAATTCCAAGGTCCATTTCTAAGAAATCACAAATAAGCAGAAGTAATTGGCGTCGTGTGGGCAAACATCTTGGTCTTCGCCGACCCCCAGACCATCCATATGCTTCCAAGTCCCGGGACGCTAACACATCCAAAGCTATGCTCCAGCGACAAGCTTCTTCACCCGCCCGCGCCTGCATATCTGCCCGCTCTTTTCCTACGTCTTTCACTCTGAATGGAAATGATATGTTCGATGTACTTACTGTCAGCCCGGTGTATTGCACTCTGCGCAGAGGAATTCGCAGCTCTCGACTGTGTGTTCAGCTGCATGATCCAAATACGGTCAAATCTCAAACCTCAGAGCCTGACACTGCCATTAGAGAGGCACTTCTTTTTTCCGAAGATGCTGATCAAGGTTTCAGTCGTGTACGGATCTATCCACTATACCATGAGCCTGGGACTTTGGTTCAACAGGAAGACACATCCCGACGGATTGCCCATCACAAGCCAACTGATCCTCCCCCCGGACAAATGGAAACGACTTCGCGTCGTTTGTATGATCGAGCCCAATCCGGCAGCTTGCTAACTCTTATGTCTCAGTTGGACTCAGAACTTCGCTCTGATGATTCTGGCACTTTGACTGAGGCTCCCGATTGTGAGTCCAACGTCCCGGAGTTGTATGACTTTGATGTTCTCTTTGGAGTGCACGATTGGGACACATGTGGCGAAGTTACAAATGACTCGGAAAGCAATCGGCGCTTTCCATTGCTTGGCTCTCCAGATGCCCTCATTCTCACCGCCGAAGTCACCAGTGAGCTGCGGCGCCTGAACGAAATCCTTTTTCCTCGTGAATTGGTTTACGAAACATTTTCCACTGGTCCCCTGTCCAACTGGCTTCGTGTAGATTCCGAATGTCTGGCATCGGAGTGAGTTAAAAACGCTGTTTCTCGACAAACTTTCTCCACGATTATATATTTTCTATGGACTTACCAACTAATTACTACTTGTGTTGCATTTCGTCCTTCAACCAAACCCGACATGCTGCACTTCACTACAGTGGGGGCTATTCTAAGTGATCGCCATGCATTGTGATGGTGTCAGTTACAAACCTACCAACTTATTTGAACGCATCCAAAAATGAGTTGCTCCATGTAATCCCTCCACCACACATGTTTTCTGAGTGTTCAAAACAGCACTTACGCGAAAAAAGGAAAAGAGGGAAAGGACGTCAGCAGTACGCTGGCACAACGTACCGACTCTTCACTTCCACGCGACCACCACCGGTCGCGCGTGTTCTGGGTATACCGTGAGGTCGTTCGCGCCTACGCGGATTTGAACCGACGAACTCCAGGTTACTAGACAAGCTTGTAATCTTTTCGACTACCGGTCGACCTCCGTGTGGCCTTGTGAGAATCTATCTAAGTCTGTTGGTCACTAATTCGCACTTGCCTACACCCCATTGATATTGCTCGATGGTGTCCCAAGATACGTCGAATTCATTTTGCTTTTCTTGGGTGATGGTTTGGGTATTTGGACCGTTTGTCTCCTATAGCCTTGCACTTCTTACTCTTTCTCCCTACAAGCTTGCCATCTCGACCATAATTTACAACTTTTTCGGACCTCGAGTAGTGTCCCGATTTTGTCCCTCACGCTTCCGAGCAGGATTGACTATATACTGTCTGCCGCGAGTTTAGCGTATACGAACAAACGGATGGTTTTGATAGTCTTGTTCTCCGATGTTTCTTCATTTTTCCACTTTACCCCATCAGTGTTCCCGTTTATTTTCCATTTCAACTTTCCACATATTAGCCCCTAAATACTCATTATCCACTAAGTTTTCTCCAGTGAGCTCTAATTCTAGTCCGACAGAGACCATGGGCGGTGCCTTGGTTCCTTCGAATTTCACCAGCATTCAACTACTTGTTAGTCGTTTTTGTCGAACCCTTCTGATCTTAACGCGGGATTCCTCAAGAATAACGTTCGCTGATACACTTGTGCTACCCCGAACCGATGTCTGTCAGTTGTCTGAGGTTTGCTCCTAAGGTACAACTACTCTGCTCATTGCGAGATCCTTACCAATTGACCTAGATGGTTTACTCTCTCGTGATTTGGACATCGCCACATCAATTGACGCCATGGTTGCTGTGCAGACCAAATTATTTTTCCATTCTGAAGCTGTTGTAAGCGGCTGGTCCATTTAACATTTCAGCTTATCTTTGTAACAATTGGCAGAGTTCCAGCTTAAGTGGTATTACCCAACTCTGGTGGCAGTTTACTATTCTTCATTACCGATTGGTCCTCCTAGACAGGAATCTTTTGGTTTATACGCACATTAAAGTATGTCTAGCATATACATGACTAATAACTGCGACTGGCTAGGAGCCAACCAGTGCTTGAACACCCAGCGTCTTCACTCAACCGTCAATGGGATTTACGTAACTGACCGAAATATTGTGGATGCTCGTGGTGTCAATCGTGAATTTTATTATTATTATTATTAATCTTATTGTTCTTTTTAATCTAGTTTTGTATGATTCGTCAGAGTTGTTCTATTTATTCTTTCTTCTCGCCTTTGTAATCGCCTTGATCATGGATGACTTTACCTTGTCTGGTTATCCTGCGATGGAAGTTCTGTCACTCAGTCTACTTACCTGCATAAACTACACTCCCTTGGGGTCAGTCTCATCTCTATTGCAACTACGGCTGCGTCAATTGTTGGACCTTTTGATATGACAAAGCGCATGAAGCGATTTACCGTGAGACCGAGTCAGCTTGGAGCAGGTGATCATCCTCTGAAGTGATTTCGAGCTCAGCGATCTCCGACCTAATATTGGACTTCTTACCACTGTGTGAAATGTTACTGCGGGAGCGCAATGACTTCGCGGTCAAAGCATCAGACATCAGCCACCGCGTTCCGAGCTCCACTGCTAGCTCCGGTTCTCTTTGCCTGAAGAGTCCAGATAAGGACAGTACCGATCATAGAGTGCAGTGTTGGGAGCACGCAAGACAATTTCTCACCACTTCGGACGCGATCCAAGTGGAGTGAAGATCACTTTCTGAAGTCTGAAATGGAATTGCTATACAAAACCCAATTACACTGCGGTTACTACCGAACCTAGCACTGAGCTGTCTCAGATAACAATACATGCTATTAAGTGGAGATTTGTTACATCTAGACTCAGTCAAACAGCCATCACACACCCGAAGAGCACTGTACGACCGTTTCATTTTTTCGGAATCTTCAACAGTGCGCATTCCGTCTGACCCGTGTCGGGCTTGAACTCGAAACTCCACTGTTGCCAGTCTCTGGTTAAGACCACTGAGCTACGAGGGACGGTACCGACCACCGTGATTAAGTTACTAAATGTGATATAGCGCCGCTCACTATCCATTGACCTGCATGTTACTACTGTGCACAGGACAGAGTAGCCCCTTCATAAATCGACGAACTTACCAAACTTAAGCCGCCAATTAGCCTATGATATTGTAAGCATTTTGGTCTGTGTACTGATGACTGAGGAGAAGTAATAGAGGGAGTTGATTAGTATTTGATTTCTTGCATTTGACTATTAATATTTTATCCAATCACTTTTCTCTAACTCTTTACCCCTCGTACTCGTTCCATCACATTCTCCACACCATTCTTGTTATTCTGTGCATGAGTCGTGGCAGATGGATCCATTGTACTTCGCGTGATGCTAGTATCAGCTCAGAGTGAGCAGATGGACCAACCGAGCGAGCCAGACAGCCAATGGGTGGCGGACATGACGGATTCGATTACTGGACTCGGATTGACCGATATTCGTGTGAGTGCTTCACCGTTTGTTTAACTGAAGCAAAGGAGGAACCTCATCGACTCAGAATGGTCGTTAGTTATGGACTTGAAATTGCAATTTATATCGAGGAGTTTGGCTTGCTATACATGCTGTAATTTTCGCTGAGCTGTCTTTGCCGAATAAACGCGTGTCCCTGAAGGACTGTGTTCTGCAACATGGTGTCAGAGAAGACAAAGACGAACGCCACAGGCCGTGGGCGGATGCTGTTTGGATCACCACCGTCTATTCAGATGGCTGCCTCACTGAACATGGACGAACGGAAACTGGCGACTAATTATCGTCTTTGGCAGAGCAAGTGGGAGGATTTACGCACCTTAATACCTTGAGACGAACAACCGATGGCGTATCGCTTGGCCATGTTTGAACACGCAGCTGGGGATGACGCGCGCCGTGTTCTGGAGACATTGCACTACGACAGAGGCCAAGTTCCCAGTAATTTGGAGACGGTCATTAGAAAGTTCAGTGGATTTTGTAAAGGTCAAACTAATGAGACCTATCAGTGCTATCTTTTCTTTTTTGCGCAACATAGGCCCAAACGAATCACTGAAGATTTTGGCACGATCCTGTAATTTTTGTAAATGTTTAGGCGACAGTCTCACACGCGATCGGATCGCTCCAGGGATCAATGATGAAAGTACGACAAAGGGGCTTTTGCGACAACGCAACTTATCGCTCCAGCAGTGCATTGATAACTACAACCTTGAGTCCTCGACCACCTATCAATACCAACAAATGAAGCCCGCAACAGATGCAGAATTGTGTGCCATTTCCTGAGGCGAAGCAGCAAAGACTACTTTCGTGAGACAGGGATCTGCAAATTTCTCGCCACGCGACATCCGAATACCCACGAACAATGTCCGGCGTGGGAACGGAACTGCGCCATATGTGGTAAAGGAAACGTTTGCTCGTTGCTGCCAATCAACTAGTGTGAGTGTGGTCGTTCGTGACAAGTCCCCTGCAGATGCAGTACATTCAGTTGTCAACGAGTCTCGGAGGGTACCACAAAAATGTGTCTACGCAAGTCTTTTGATCGAAGGCTAAACCGTACGATTCCAGTTAGACACAAGTCCTACTGTCAACATTCTACCAAAGAAGCTCTGTCCCGGACTGTGCATTCGATCCGATCAAGATTGCCTACGTATGTGGAATGGTTCTAAACGTCATCCAAAGGGCTCAACTACAATCTAAGTCCTTAACTCAAGAGATGGAGCTTCACATCGACTGGAGTTCGTGATCATGGAGGAGCTCACGCCGATTCTCGGCATTGATTCGATCCAGTCTCACGATTTTGTTGTTTTTAGTCATGATCGTTTTGTGCATATTTACCAAGGAGAAACCGATATTAGTGACCAGTGTCCGTCTGTGTTTAGCCCAAGTTTAGGAAAGTTTGCGGGAATCGCTCAATTGTCCTTAGATCCTTTGATACGACAGACAGCGCTACCAGCTAGGAGAGTATCATTTGCACTGCGTGACAGGTTCTCCGCTGAATTGAGCAAATTAGTCAGAGGGTGTGATTGCCAAAGTCGACGAGCCAACCGATCGGGTTAGTCAGGTCTCAATCGTTACGAAGAAGATGGGCGAACTGCGTGTGTGTACTGACACAAAACCGTTGAATGAGGCCGTGCGTAGAGAGCATTACGCGCTACGTAACTTAGAAGAGATTCTGCCGTATTTGGCCAAAGCTAAGCGGTTCACGAAAGTAGACCTCTCTTAGGCATTCCGTTACGTAGTTTAGATGATGAATCCAGTTTCCTTACAACCTTTGCAACACCGTTCGGGCGTTATCGTTGGCTACATTTGCCGTTTGGCTTGAAGGGGTAGAGTGAAATTTTTCAAAAGCGGTTGCTTCAAGCGGTAGATGATTTAGATGGTGTAACATGCGTGGCAGACGATATTTTGATCTATGGCTCGACAGAAGAAGTGCATAACACTAATCTCCACCGTTTCTTACAGCGTTGTGTGCATACGAACAACAAGCTTAAAGGTGAAAAAATTAAACTTCGGAAAGACGAGGTTATTTTCCATGGACATTTGTTAACAACACAAGGGGTCAGCGTCGATCCAGGAAAATTAAGGCAATTGAAGAGATG